GGGGGGCAGAAGAGTTTCCGTGGCTTGGCCCAGAGTGGCCACCAGGGAAAGCTGGGGAGGGCTAGCCTCCCACTAGTTCGAATTAAGTGGCTACACAGCCCTTAATTCGAACTACTTAATTTGAACTAGGCGTTAATCCTCGTAGAATGAGGTTTACCTAGTTCTAATTAAGCGCTCCGCTAGTTCAAATTAAGTTCGAACTAGCGGTTTGTATGTGTAGCGCCTATTAAAGTTAATTCGAACTAACGGCTGTTAGTTCGAATTAACTTTGTAGTGTAGATATACCCAGAGAGACAAAGGAGGGAAAAATCCAAATTCCTTTGTCCCAGTTTGAAATTCCTACCTACATTCCTATTGGCCACTCCACCTGGCTAGGTGGAGTTAACCCCTTAGTCACCAGGGTGCTGGCTAACCCTCATAATCATGACGGGGTAGGCTGAATGAGGAACAGGGGAGTTCTTGTCCCATGGAGTCATTTCTGTAATGGTGAGTATTTCTGGTATAGCCCTATAAATCAATCCTCCAATGACACACCCAGTCTTCCCTACTCACAGAGACATACACAAAACCTTTTGCTCCAATCTTTCTGGTCCCATTAATGTTCTGCAGCTCATCCACTAATCCTATGGACCTGTCTCCCTCTTGCCCTCCACTGACCTATACAGGTCTGATCCAAAGTCCAGTGAAGTTAATGAAATGACTCCCATGGACTTCAGTGGTATGAATGGTTCACCATACATCATATATACATAGATAAAAAGGCACAACTCCAATATTTTTAATTGGTGAGCTACCTTTAATGTAAGTAAAATTTAATGTGATTCCTTCACCCAAAGCACTTTACTTTCACTTTAAATTTACTGGGACAGTGAAATATACAAGAGGTTATAACAGACTGACATTGTCCCATGCCCTTTGTTTGTGTTTATACCTATCTTTTTTATTAAAGGTAAATTCTGAAAAGCTGATTCAGTTTCTAAGCCTAGCTACAGCAGCTGAAATACAGAATATCAAGACACGTGATCTAGGTCTTCAAGCAAAGAGTCTAACTTTCAAGGATCTAAGAAAAAGGTTTTATTTTTAATGGATTTAAATGAATGAAAATAGTATCTGGGAAAGCCTCTTGTGTTGTTTTTTTTCTGGTTTCCATTTGGAACAAGTTTTGCAGGTGCTGTATTTTCAGAATGGTCTCCAGCCTGCTCTTTTCACTGAGTTGTCTGAAAGCAAAACTGGTTCCTAAATTATGAAATTTAAAAAGCATTTTACATAGCATAGAGAGCACAGATTTTTCTCTTGCATTCATTCAAACCACTACATGTTTCGGGTCACTGATTACCTATGCTACATGCTGCTGGAAGCATCATTTGAGATTATACAGACTCCTCTTTACTTACCCTTGGCAAGGAGAACAATTTCAATTAGAGACCATTTTAATTGTGTGTGTGCATGTGTGTGATGCTATTCTGAATTCACTGGAGACTCAAGTACTCTATACATAGAATAGGTACAGTACATACGCCTCCATCACGTGGATGAGGCAGACCCACTGCCTTAGCAAATGGTCTCACTGCTGAAATTGACAATAAGGATGTTGATGATGACCTTATATGAAGTGAGCATCAGCACACTAAACGTTGGATTTGAGACCACTATCTTATCTCTTATAATCTATGGTGCCAAGAGATGGCAACAAATTTCAATCACCATTAGCCAAGGCTAGATTTTAGAACCTGTGGCCTTGAGGTGAAATCTTGTGTAGACCTGGGAGATGTTTATAACAAAACTCTTTTTCAGACCAAAAAAAAGGCGAATTCAGGTTGATCGAAACAATTTGAGAATGTGTGTCCAATGACCAATTTTTTCAAATGAAAAAAATTGAAATGATAAAAAATGAAAATCACTTTTTGTCTTGACTTTTTTTAAATGAATTATTTTGATATTTTTTGAAATTTAAAATAGCTTTTTGGTTTGAAATTTTATTTAATTTTTTAGACATTTATAAAAACCCTTATAATCAAAACAATGAATTGTGGTTTGGGACAAACTAAATGTTTCATTCAATCCAAAACATGTTTTTTTACTTTTCATTTTGCTGAAACAGTTAGAAAGTTTTTGCTGTGGGTGGACCTGAAATAATATTTTAACTTTTTTTTGAAACTGCCCGATAATCAACAAATCGGTTATTGTCAAAGCTCTACTCCAGGGTTACTCAACCCGTGGGCTACATGGGTCCCACATCCCATTTGTTTGCAGCCCGTGGTGTGGTTTCGGTTTACACGCTCTCGACAAGCGGCCCGCGGGTAGGAGCCAAAACAAAAAAGTAGTCAATATAATGGTCTTCTGTTGATCTGCATTTTAGTAGTTAAATTCCTAGACTGCCACTGTTCATTAAAAGTGGTGTCATGGGTGGATATTGGGTTAATATTGTATTTTATTAATATCAGCAGAACTGATATAAGCGGGGCCTGCATGTTGTGTAGTCTTGCCTTAATCTTTGTGTTCATGCCCGTTAGTGTGAAATAAGCTATTTGCATATACATTTACATGTATATGCAACCACAGTTAAGTTGCAGCCCTCGGCATGTGCTGTGAGTATCACTGTGGCCCCCGGACCGTCCAAAGTTGAGTAGCCCTCTTGTGTTTACTCTGGTCTACTCTATTGCTATATTATCAGTCCTCTGAGCCATCCTGTGAGGGAGTGAAGAGAGGAGGGCCTGGCATCACTGGAGTTAAACAAAGCCTGTTGGCCAAGCTAGCCCCACCCTGCTTTACCTGTAGCCAATGCCAGGCCTGGAGAGAGGCTAAAAGAAGGAGCCTGGCTCAGTTTGGGTCTGACCAGCAAGGAGACAGGACTGTAGTTCTGCAGTCTTCAGGACCTGAGCCAAAGCCCATTCACTTGGCTAGACACAGGACCAAGTAAGCCTCCAACACCCCTTCTAGGGCAAAAGGGGGGAACCTACTCAAAACCCTCACTGAAGAGGGGAAATTTGGACTCTAGAGGCCATATCCCAAACTTTAGGACTGTATGCAGATAGTAGGCTGGAATTCCTAGGCCCGGGGCATCAGCAGCACGGATCTGCACCCCTTTTCTGCCAGCTAAATCTGGGACCTAACCACTAGGCCACCCTGCTGCCAGAGAGACACAGCCACACATCCCTTCTACTGTCACGATGTGACACAGCAGCATTATGCAATACCAACAATGTCACAAATTGAGGAGCCATATGCAAGTAAGTCATTTTATATTAAGCTGTGCTTTACCAGAAAAAGCCTGAGACCGATATTTAAGACGTACAGCCTGCAGTCACACCAGCCCACCAGTGCTTTGATACAGAGTTGGGCCTGGCTGATTACTGAATGGAAGAGCTTCAACGAAACCTAAGGGAGCATTAGTGATGATTCAGTAGATGGCTCTCCTTCTTTCTGAGTCAGTGTTGAGTCAGGCCTCAGTACAGAGGTAGGAGGCATTTGGAGGTACCATCTTTTAGGTGAAACAAAAAATCCCAGGTGTTTAATACCATTAAAAAATTCTTAAGGAGTTTTTCACTGGAATCAGGAAGTTAAGCCTGATAATGTGGCCACAATCCCAATTTAGGTAATTTACTATGTCATTTTAGCTGTATTTGCTATTTTGTTTTGCTTCCTCCCCAAGTCTGTTTTGCAGTGTTGCTGAGATTAGTTAAACAGCTGTTGCAGAACATCTCAGAGGTTCTATATTGCCTTGCTCATAGAGCGCTTTGTGGTCCTTTGTGGGGCAAAGTGAATGATAAGGTATTATGTATTATTTCTGTGCTAATCTGTAAATTTTAATTTTCCAGCTCCCAGGCTCCTGAAGACCCATTACAGATCTTGAAGCAAATATTGAAGGAATATAAAGGAGAACTGGACATAGAGAAATTGAGTTTGAGTTTTCAAAAAGAAGATAAGTCCTTCTCTGGCCTCCTTTCTCTAAATGAGGTAAATTGACCCCAGAATAGGGTTCATGTATCACAGGTAGATTACTCGTATTTAATGGCTGTGTAACACACAACCAGAGATGGGCCATTTTTTCTCAGTCTAGTTATGAATCCAATATCAATCCAGAATCTCTTTCTCAATCCAGTCTATTGCAGAACATATTTCAAAGCTGTATTTTCATTCTTAAAAACAGGAAAAGATTGTGAATCCTACAGGACTGGCTTAAGAGGGTATGTCTACACTGCAGTTAAAATATCCGTGGCTGGTCTGTGACACCTTGTGCTCACAAGCTCGGGCTGCAGGGCTATAAAACAGTATTGTGGACTGTACTGGGGCTTGGGTTCTGGGACTCTCCTGCCTTACAGGATCTTGGAACCAAGCCTGAATGTCTGCACTGCAGTTTTTTAGCCCCACAGCATGCAGTGTAGATAATCTAGAGGTGCAGATTTTAAGAAGTGCAAAGACCTTAAAAAACCACCAAAGTGAGTGGGAATTGAGAGCACTTGTTAAACTGGAGGATTTGGGGTGGGGATGGGGACTTATATTTCTTTAGGCTAGTAGAGTCCCAATAGTAGTGATCCCATGGCTTTAAGATAAAAACTTGAACGTGCATGGGGTGCAGAGACTAACTCCTGCATTTGGTACACATGGTAGCTTTTGTAAAGTTAGAACATTCCTAGATCACACCCATGGGAATTAAAATAATAGAAAGGCTTTAGAAAACACTTACATCATCTTCAATAATAAATGACATGCCTCATGTCTACAGGTTGTCCCCTTGGAAAACCAGTGATGAATCTGAAATGAGTTTCTCGGCAGAGTGAATGCTTGAGGCTTCATACCATCTAGGAGACAGTAGTGAGCAGTGGGCCATGTGTCATGGGCCTAAAAAAGGGAGGCAGGGATGTATTAAATAGATTTTGTTAATATTGTTTAGTTTGAAACACAGAATTCTGTGTTTAATACCCCCAAACTAAACAATATTAACACGGTCTATCTTACACAGAATTTGAGTTCATCTGTTCTGTTAAAAATAGATGTAGGAGTTACATTTAAGAATTATTAGTGGAGCTGGGTTGAAAAATCAGATTTTTTTTTCTGCAAAGAATTTCAACTTTTGTAAAAAAAAATCATAAACTGAACATGTTTGGCAGAAATCTGCCAAAATTTGGAGTTTTCAGCTTTACAATGACACAGTGTAAATTTTCAAGGATATAGAATGCTTTCCTACCAAAAGAATGGTTTTGAAGGAAAAACTTCAATCAGACCTAATTCCTAATAAGATCTTCAGGTAATCTCTTTGCACAGTCACTTGACTCTATGTGCAGTATTTGCAAATGGAGTTTAGCATGTACTGCAGAGTCATGCCCACAAGAAGAAATGACTCAGTCCCGGTCACAACTACGTATGTGTGTATGCTGTTTTATAGTCCATTTCAAAGCACATTGCCATGTATCTTTTATATTGGAGCTGATGGCTGTGATGCACACTGGATTCATAATAAAATCTGCTCCTTTCCATGGCTTTGCTGGGGTTAAAGAGAGCTCAAATTTCAATGGGAAATCTTATTTTGTATTCCAGATTGAGACCATTTGCTGGAAGCACAGACTAACCCCAACTCCTTCATTGCTGGAAGCTTTTCTCAACAGTCATGATTTGTGCAAACAAGGCAAAATAAAGTAAGTTTTTAATACCATCCTGGTGAGGGATGTTAAAAAGTAGTAACTGTGTAACCAATTAAAATTCCATTGGTTACACGGTTAAACACTCCCAGCAGTGATGGCCCTGTAGACATCTGGCCACATGGGCTGCTGGCCTCATGGGTTACCAGCACCACCAGCATTGCAGGCTGCTGGTTCCACAGTTCCAGTGACACTGGCCTTGCAGGCTGCCACCCTTGCGAGCTGCTGGCCCCACAGGGTCCAAGTGCTGCCAGTCTGGGCTGCTGTCATTACGAGCTCCCAGTATCGCCAGCTTCACAGGCTGCCAGCCTCAGAGGTTCCCGTTGGCACTGGCTTCCCAAATTGCTGGCCCTGCAGGTGCCAGGCAGCACCAGCCTCGGAGGCTACTGACCTTGCGGGCTCCCAGCGCCACCGGTCTCGTGCGGTCTGGTAGTGCCAGTCTCTCAAACTACCAGTGCTGAAGGCTCCTGGCAGCACCAGTCTAACAGGCTGCCAACTCTCTGGGCTTCCAGCAACGCTGGGAACCCTTGGGATTTTAACTGTTAACAGGAGCCAATAAGCTGATGCTTATCGGTTAACGAGTTAAATTCTTACATCTCTAATCCAGACCTGATATTTCCTTCTACAATAGCTATTTGGTTGTACGGGGCAGCCTCATGCACAGGTTTCAAAGCAGCTGCTCTGTGCATGGGTCTCTCCCATCCTCCTATTTTTAGATGTATTATGGAGACTTGCAATTCACAGATTGGCCCAATCATCGCTCCTAGAGAGACCCTGAAGTAGGAGATCACTGATTGATTTTTCCGTATCTCCTCTCTGGCAACTTGAGGTCCCCTATTAGTGAAGATCCCTGCCAGTTATAAGATCAAACCGGGGCTGACTGTGGTCACAGCTACAAGACAGAGTTCCTCAGCACAGCTGGAAGTTAAAAAACCAGTCCACAGCCCCTTTCACATCAGCAGAACTTTGGAGCACATTACAATGAAGCCCATACAAGGCTAGTTTGCTCTTAGCCTGCAGCAAAGACCTTAACCTAACTGTAGCAAAGTCTTTGTGTGGCTTCTCAGGTCTTGATTTAGCAGGAATCTCTTGACTCTCAGCAACACAGAGACTTCTCAGGACTCATTTTCCCAGCTGTGCATGCCATCCATCCACGCACAGTGTGATGAAGGGCACTTTCGCTTGGCTGACCAGCAATGAGGAATTACATTTGCAAAGGATAAACTCTTCCATGCACATACCAGCTTTGGCTAAGGCCTTGTCTGTTAAATTAAAGCCATTTTGTTAAGGGCTTTAAATACTTGGCCAGAGACTGAATTAAGTCTCTTTAGGGATTAAAAAATCCAATATAAACAAATAAATCTAGAAAGCTGAATGCATGAATCATTGTTTTAGTATATATGGTCCACTCTAATCTGCAGTCCAATTGTGAAGCCACTCAAAAGGCTGTTTCTCAAATAATTAGCAGGAAGAATCCAGCTCTGACCACTTTCTGATTAAATGTGCTTAAAATCAATAAAACACCATGAGTGATTGCAGTCACATGAGATTAGCCCTGTCGAACAAAGCGGAACAAGTTGTGTCTTCCCTGTAATTTGTCAAAAAGAAAAATGGGCACTGGAAGAAGGAAGAACTTCTGGTATTTGTATGCAGATTTTTCTGTCTCTTGTTTAATTATTTAGTAATTCATTCATTCCTGGAGAAGTGAGGGAATCAGTTTAATTTCTGAAAATTACAGGGACCAATTCTACATAAAGGTTTTCTAGCACCACTAAAAAGCCACTGCAGGTTAGCTAAACTGGTGGAAATCCACATAGCTCAGTTGATTTCAGCTATCCAGGCTAAGCATGTGGCCCACAAAGCAAAGTTTGTGTCCATCCTTCGCTTTAGTTGTAGATAGATATTATTTTTAAAAATCTCAAAGCTGCGAAATGCACTGGGCAAATGATGTCTGCCCTTTGAAAAATGTTTTCCCAAATGTGTATATAGTGTGTCATGTGGTTTGCTGCACTTGCT